GCTTTTAAATTTTGTGCGCGAGCTATTTTTAGTTTGTTGGAAAAGACACACCCCCCTGGTTCACAAAATTTGAGTTCGAGAAATTTTTTTCATTATTTTACATTATAAGTACCCAAAGAAGCTATATATATAAAAAACCAGATACAAATACCTGTTTTGCGAAATTGAGAGCAATTTTAAATTTGTTCAGTTTTTTTGATACACCCTGTAGAGTTTAATTTGTTTGTAGGTTTGGACGCAAGTTCAGTAAAAAAACACAACGGTGGTGTCATGTTCGTATTCTGGTGCCAAAACAGTTCACCTACATCCCCAAACTTCTACTGCAGGTTTTTGAGAGAAGAATCAGCTCTGAAGGAACTGTGGGTAGAAGAATTGGTTTGGTGAGTGACGATCCGAGAAGAATTGCTCCCAACATAGCTGCTATTCAGCCCCCTTCAGTGAAAACCTTGTAGAAGCCCATAAATCGAGATTCTAATTATCTTTAACAATGTACAATACACCGTTTTTTTATATACAAACTGATCTATGTAATATTTACAAACTGAAACCCACAATATACTTACAGGCCAAGATAAAGATACTGAGTTATCCATGAAAATGTAATCAGCAATTTGTGGTCAAGTATAATTATCACCAGATAATAATTTATAGAAAAACAGAGGAAAACTTTAATTACTTAATTTAACAGCTATCCTGCATTTCCTATTTCATTCAACATGTTTTGGATGGCTGTTATTGTCTGAGTGATAATCGACTTAGCTGTGCTCAACTTGGATAACTTGGGATAACTGAATAGAAACCAGATTACACGTCAAAAGTTTTTATGATCAAAGTATATTTTATTAATTTGATCAAATGATGTAAAAATTTACAGTTTAATTGCCTTTTATAAAATGTCTTAGGTCAAGTAACTTCAAAGCAACTGTTCTTGATTAATTTAAAAGACTTTGATCAGAGAAACCTTTATATTGTGTAAACCAACTTAATTGATAATTACTAGTATATATTTTTCACCCGAATGTATTGCCTAGTTTCATGTCACAAAACTGATTATATAAGGCTGTTCTGAGAACATATATTGGTAATATTACAGGATTGTGCCGATCTCTTTTGTGAGACAAAATCAGGCAATTATAGTAAAATATGAACATGCGAGTGTCTGGCACCTTAAAACCAGATTGGGTAGGTGGGGCTCATAAGCCTTGGCAAGCAGTCCACCTAGGAGAAGGACAACTCTGATTTCAAACCCCCAGATCCCACTTTCGGGTCAGCCTGTCCATGTCGAACTCACTGATTCAAATAAAACTTGCATCAATATTTCCTAGGCATGCTGATGAGCTCTATCTAATCTAACCAAAGGGTATTGTATAAAGACAATCTTAGGAAAAATCTTAGAGAAAAAAAAATATGAGAACGAAAAACAAAAGGTTGGCCACCGCGGGATTTGAACCACGCCACCGGCACTCGCTGAAATACAAATGCAGAAAATCTAAATATACAGGGTGTATAAAAAAAAACTGAACAGATTTAAAATTGCTCTCAATTTCGCAAAACAGCTATTTGTATCTGTTTTTTATATATATAGCTTCTTTGGGTACTTATAATGTAAAATAATGAAAAAAATTTCTCGAACTCAAATTTTGTGAACCAGGGGGGTGTGTCTTTTCCAACAAAATAAAAATGGCTCGCGCACAAAATTTAAAAGCTGCAATCATATTTTGAGTTAACAGATGGAAAATTTGTCGGGATTTTAATTACTGTAGAAAATTTCAGACAATTTGGTTTAGTTTAAG